TTTTTTCTAAAGTCTGTACGCGAGCTTAAAAACTATTATTTTATTTTAATTAAAAAAAAGTATTAATAATATAAAATAGTTTTTAAAAAAATATATTATTTTTTAATAAAACTTTTTATATTTATTATACTGCATATCTTTATATCTTATAATATCCGGGAATTAAAAACTTAGAAACTAGTTTTATAAGCTATTATTTTTGTAAGAATTATAAAAAAAATACTATTAATAATATTTAAATAAATAATTAGTTAGATATTAAGTAAAAAGCTATTATAGATATTTATTTATTTTTTAAAAATAAATTTTTTCTAATTATTATTTTTTCTAGGTCTCTATAATTTATAATAAATAAAACTTTTAAAATTAAATTTTATATTTTATAATTATTTATTATCTACTATTCCGATTTGTTAAGTATATTTAATTTAAATAAATAATTAATCTTATAGTTTTATTTTTCTACTAAAAATTAAGTTTTTTTAATTAAGTACAGATTAAAGAATATTTTTTAAAATTATTAAGAAATATATATATATAGCTGTTATTAAAATTTTTAGATATTAGATAAATATTAATTATAATAAACTATAAAACCAGCTTTAATTAAAAAATATTTCTTATTTTAACTGGATATTTTTTAATAAAAAATATAATTTATTATAAAGTTTTACTAGGCTTCTAACTAGTATCTAAATCTTATACTAGTAAAAATCTAGTTATAATTATTCTATTAATTTTATATAAATGTAATCTATTTTATTAGTTATTAGATATAATAACTAATAATATTAGTAATAATAATTTAATATTTAGTATAATCTTATTTAAACTTTAGACTTAGTTTAGTTAGAGTATTCAGCTTTATAATTTTATTTTAATTTTATAATAATTATTTAAAGCTAGTATTATATATTCTGTTTTATTTATATAATTTAGTTTATAGTTAATATTTTTTTATAAAAACTTTAGATTAAAGTTTTAAACAGTACTATTAAATATATATAAAAAACCTATAATAAAAGTCTTAAAGTTTCTTCTAATATTTTAAAAACTTTTAAAAAGATATATTCTAAAAGCTATTTATAAAAGACTAATATAAAGAGTTTCTACTATTTATATTAGAAACTATTTAGATTAGTTTTTTATAAATAGGTTCTAAAAATCTTTTTTTAATAATAGCTAATTTTACTAATTTTGTTATAAGAAAAGATTAAAAAAAATAAAAATTAATATTTTTTTTAAGCCAGGTACCAAAGTCCTGTTTTATAAAAATTATTTCAATATTTTAAAAAAGTGCTTGTCTAGTTTTTTTTTATTTTTTTTTAAATTGCCTGCTCTGTTCGGAGGGCTTATTTATATTTATAATAAGTTTCTTTTTTAAATTTTCTAAGATATTCTTCTGATATAAAGAGTTCGGTAAAAAGAAGATTTTCGGTTAATAAATCAGAGATAAAAACATAATATAAAAAATTAATATAAAAAAATATATTAGTAGAAAAAGGGTAATTAAATATTATATATTATATTAGTAAAATAAAATAAATAAATTAGTAAAAGTAAAGTAAATAGTTATTATTATCTTAAATAATCTTAACTATATCTTAGAATATAAGCTATACATAGCAGGCCAAGGGGGTCTGTATAGAGCCTTTTCTACTGTTAATAATAGTAGTATTTAGTTATAAAGAGTAATTATTAGTTATTATATAATTATAATACAGTTATAATACAGTTATAGTACAATTAGAATATAATTATAGTAGTAAAAAATAGTCTTAAAATAATAAATACTGTTATATAATAAAAAGAGTATATTATAAAATTGTATATAAATAGTATTAAAAATAGATTATTTAATAATTAATTTTAATACTAATAGTTATTTTAAATATTATATAAGTTTCTTATAGTTTATTTCTATATTAGATTAATTATTTTTCTATTTTTTAACTGTAGGCTAAAAAGTAATAATAATATTATTAAGATTTTTAAATATATAAAATAGTATTTTATAATATAAAAATAATAAAAATCTTTATAATATTTTATATAAAGTTAATATTCTATATATATTATATTAAAACTGTTAAGATTAGAAAAGTATAAACAGATTTTTATAAAAAATCTAATATAAATACTTTTTTAATATTAGAATTAGAACTTATTAGAGTCTATTTACTTAAATATTTAAAATAAGAAAGTACTAATAAAAAATCTTTTTAAATTATTTATAAAGATTTTATAAAAAGAAATACAGAATATTAATAA